CCTGTTATGATGTGCAGAATGAAAAATGAATTTTAGAAAGTTGCATGACTCTTGTCTGCTTGCACTCTTGAACACTAGGCACTAGGTAGGAACCCCACACTGCAGCAGAGAATTTCCTGTCCTGACATCCAAAACCTGTTCTCTAAATGCTGCATCTGAATAAATTGTGCTTTGTGAACTCAGCTACTTGATCAGACCTACAGTCGACAGACTGTTTGTGAATCCAGTACTGACAGAGTCAGACCTCTAATCGCCACAGAGTTTGGTATCCCTATTAAGAGACAAGTCCAGCCGCCCCCAATCCCTCTAACCTTTGAGGATCAGCTGGAACACACGGGATTCACCTCTTACCATATTTCCATCTCCTCCCTCCCCCATGAAACTGCAGCAAGCCTCTTGTAGGAAACAGGTGGAATTTCATTAGTTCACAAGTTTGCAAGATATGACAAAATTTACACGATTGGTAATTTTACTAAAACATCAGTTTTTCTTACATTTTCTAGTAAATGTGAAATATTAAAATATACCAAACAGAATTTTCACCTAGAGAAGAAAAATAAATAAAAAGAACACATCTACACACTCGCTCACTGCCTACCTCTGGTACTGGGCATGAAGCCCTGTGCCTCACGCTCCCATGGCTCGGAGCACCTGCCACACTTTTGCTGTCATGTGCATCAGCTGGAGTTTACATTTTATTAGAGTTCTGCTTCTTCACTAGCGCCTTCCCTTCAGGACTCAAAATCTATTTTTGCTAATGTAAATCCATTTAAAATTGCCAATTTGAAAATCAATCTGGTAGTTCAGATTCTGCTGTCAAGTAGCAGCCCTTTAACTAGAGGCATAGGGGGGAAATCACCGCACTGACAGGGTATCTTTCATCCCAAGGAATCCATGTCTGACAGAAGCAGCAACCACTCCTTCAGGCTTCAGTCCCCAGTATTGGATTTTTAATGGCTATGTTAATTATTTGTCTTCCTGGGTTTTCTAGCAGCAGATGTGACATGTTCAAGGTAACGGTCAAGGCTGCTTTTTGAGAGACTCTCAATGCTGCCAGATATTCCTAGCATTAAAATTATTTTAACTCAGAATGGAAGTACAAGAACATAAAGGCCTAATAGTTGTTAGGAGTCCAAGCAAAGCCTAGAGACATCAGCTAGCAAGAACTACAAATGAAAAGGAGATGAGAAGTGACAAACTTTGGTACCTTAACCCAAACAGAATGCAAGGGCCACCCTCTCCGGCAGAAGAGAAGTTGACACTTTAAGATCAAGGTAAACTGGCTCCAATTAACTATTTTTACAGCTCTTCACCATGAGTACTAGAATTAGTTATGTGAAACTTCCTGGTTTTCAGAGTGATTTATCAATACTGAGATAAGCACAGTTTCTGTTTCAGCACATTTATTTAGCAAGTAGCACACTTCAGTTTACATTAGTTTTAAGAACTTGAGTCATGTCCCTTAGAAATTGAGGTATTTACATCCTACCATCCAGTATATAGCACAGGGAAAAAAAACCCCATAAGCTGACAGCAAACTAATAGGCTTCAGGTTTAACCAAAAGGCTCTTGTTTTTGGACAATTTATCTGATAAACAGGCAAGGGAACAATACAGAACAGGACAAACGCAGCACTTTATTGGAGATGGTGAAAACTGAAGCTAAAGCTAAGTGACTGTTCATGCCCTTTTTATTTTTTGAACACATAAAATGGTATTTTAACATTTCAAAGAACATTCTTGAAGATATACCCTGAAGCAAGAGCCCCCAGAACAATATACAAGAATAATCTCATCCTAAACTGGAATCATCCTGTTTAGCAAAGGTGTGTAACGGTATATAAGGTATATGGTATATAAGGTATAACGTTTTTTCTGCACCTTTGGTTTCTGTCACTCTAATCTAGATTTCTCAAAAATGCTGACTCGCCCTTCAGGTGAACGCAAGTTTGAATCGTGGAGCAAAAAACAGTCTGTATTTCCCAGGCCCTTTGATAGCACTGGAAATAGGAGTTAGAGAGCAGTTCCTTCCTGCCTCTAGTGCTCAAGAGCCACAGAACAGGGAAGCTGCCTGTGCAGCATCTTCAAAGAACACACAGATATTAACCAACTACCATAAGAAAAATACGCCAATTTTCTCCTGAAAGTTGCTTCCCTGAAGGAGGGTACATAGCACTTTTTGTGAAAACTGGGAAAATTCTACAGCAAAACAAGTTCCTTCACCAGAGTTTCAGACACGTTACCAGTTTGCATGTGAAAAGATCAAACTCTGAGGAACTCTGACACAAGACATAGTGCTAAGCCAATACATTTAATCCACTGTAAGAGGGTCTAACTTGCCAGTTATTGCTCAACTCGGGAGGTAGTTATTAGCAAAGTAAACAGTTTCTACTCTAAAACTGTTAGGAATCCACAAGAGAAGCAGGAGAAGTACAGTGCACCAACCTAACTTTAGAAGATCATTTTGTCTTTGCAAGAAGCTACAGTTCAAAGTTCTTTTCTTGTCTTGGGGAATAAGATAGGTGCTGTAACTTGTAAGAAACATTCATGGCCCATACATTTTCCTGTAACCAACCTAATCAAGGAGTATAATGTATGAGAATAAAAACCACTAAGTAACAGCTCAGAAGAACCTGACAGTGAATTCAGCAACCGCTTCTAATTAGCGCAGCGACTGAGGGAGCCCAGTTGGGCAGTTGCATCCAACTGTCCTTCTTGCTCCTTTCCATGGCAAAGTGCTTTCCTTACCTGATGTCAACAGAATTGAAAAGTCTCTTCTGTTTCTCATCTTGGTATTCCCAAAGGAAAGTGCTTAGATTTCACAAGATGGACTTGGCAGCAGTGCCAACCAACACTAATAACTTTTTGTCTACAATAGGCAAAAAAATCCACCGTTTATTCTACACCAGAAAAGGAGTCAATGTCACAGCAAGCTGCATATATAACACTGTCATTTTTAATCACATTCAAGAGATCAGCAGTGAATTTAGCTACTCCCTCTCACTAGCACAACAGTGAATTCCTTCTCAGTTCACAGATTTCCTACTAAGTTTTCAGTGTTACTATGACATTATTGCCATCATATTGCTTATGTAGATAGATAATGCTCAACTAAATTAAGCTGGTGAATGGCTTTCTGACATAGAATTGTAAGAGGTGTCAGGAGTAAAAACGTTGTTTCTAAAGCACCAAACTCTGAGTCCAAGAAATTAAGAAAACAGAAAAAAAAATATATATATGTATACATACATACGCACGCACACACCCCTACCTCCTTGTTTAAAGTCTAGGCTCATCTTTAATCCTCCACAATTCTTCTGTCTCAGCTTCAAGAAGAGAACCTGTATGGGTTTAGTGGACTACACATAAGTCAGCGTTAGTAAATGGAGTATTATAAGACATAGGAAATCAAAATGTAATTGAGCTACAGCATGCACAAACTCCTTGAGAAGGGTTTTTCCACTGCCTGTTTTGCTACAGGAACCTGCTGCCTTAGAAGATGTTCTTCCAAAAAGCAGAAAGATAACGTTGAGCTTCCTGTTTAAATAAATGTGTAAATACAGCTGCTAAAAAGATTTTTTTTTTTAATCCAGTAGAAATTAAAACAATCCAAACTGCTGCCCTGCTTATTCTCTAATCTATGATATTCCTATAGAACATCTTCTGATTTTATGGCAAGAGAGCTGCAAGGCTGGATACAAAAAAGACAGATAAGGCAAATACAGATTGTAGTAAAAGGAGAAAACCCACAACTGATTTACACACATAATCCATCCATTGATTAGATGAAAATAATTGAGCTGGGATTTGCTCAGTACATGTCACCCAAGGAATCGAGAGTGTTATTTATTTACTTTGTAATCTGTTTCAAAAGCATTTTGGCAAATTTTGGGTCATGGGTGCATCACCTAACAGGTGTGGGGAAAATACCTCGGAACTGAATTATTTTTAAAAGTAAGTGTTTAGCAAGAACTCTTCATGAGATTTAAAGGTGATCCTCGAACCCAACCATAAACAAATGAATAGAGCAGCTGTGGCAAATTCATGCTGTAGAAGAAAATTAAATGGCTGCAGTATTCCCCAGTCACTCTAAGCACTTTGGTTCATCCTTCACACAGGAAATATTGAGGGCAGAACCCCGAGAAGCCAGGAACGGGCTGTCGGTCTCAGCTGGCTGCACGGATAAACAAGAGGCCGAGTCCTGTGTGCTTCCCAAGCAGCAGCAGCCTGTGCTGCACATGGGTGGTGTGCTGGCAGATGGGAAGCTCTCCCTCTACGTTTGAGGTGAATACCCCATGCCAGGGCGCATGTGTCCAAATTAGAGAGAAGTACGTTCCTCAAAATTACATGGAGGAGAGGGGAATTTGATGACTACAGGTATTTGGGAATATTTGCGACCAGGAGTATTCCCAAAGTTCTCATATCTAAGGCTCTCGAGGAAGTTCACGTATCTCATGAACAGGAAGACAGGCAGCGTTTCTTAGGTATTAACTGACTGAGCAGATAATAAAATAGTTAATTCTCATGCTTAGCTATAAAGTCTACAACAAAAACTGATCAAGTCAGCCAGGAATCTCCCATAACAGAAACACTCTACTGAAGGCAGAACTAAGACAAAACAAGCAAAACCAAACAGAGAGCCACATTCATTAGACTTACATACACTAGGGAGTCGTACTTCAAGGGCGAGAGAAGTGTTTTGGTTAGACTAATTCAAAAGGCATAGTAGTGCAACACAAGCTTGTTTCGTTGCTTTTAATATTAAGGTCAGTTAAAAGCACGTCTATAAAAAAAAATCCCAAACATTCTGCATCGGAGTGTCAAAATATTTGATACAACTTCTACTCAGTTCCCACTACCCTGCAGCAAAGAATCTTCATGGTATCACTAAACTGCTACTACATCAGTGTATGCATGTATATATGTATTCATATGTGTATATACAAACATATACACATACAATCCATATATATTTATATATACATAAAATGAATCATCAGATTAGCAGTCCCACAAGCATTTAAAACTTATTCCTAGGGAAAAAAAACAAATGAAAAATTAAGAATTTTATGTTAAGACCACAAACAAAAATATAAATTAATTTACTTAACTATAAACAATATGCAACTTTGTAAATGTTTTTTAAAAAAAGCAGATCACTTGAGTCTGTTTCATACTTTAATACATAAACCAAAACATATGAAAGCTATAAAAACATTAATGTGTGCCAGTTATTAAACATGTAGCCTCTTATCTTAATGCTCACATGTGTAGATTAAAAATGATCACAATGGAAATTTTACTTTCAATTATTGTAAACAGACCAAATACAGAGTCGAAACACTTCATTTCTGAAACTTGACAATTAGCATCACTTACTCTCTCAAACATCAGCTGGGCTTTAAGTTATACACCAGAAGCATAAGCTAACATCCTACCAATGGAAGCATTACAAAATGCATTAAGAGAATAAAGGAATATCTTAGTCCATTTTATTTAGTCATTAAAAAAACCCCAAGAAACTTTCAATTGTTTTTATTAGGCTTTTGCTATTCTGCTATCAAAGGTCTTTTAAAAAAATCTGCTCTGTGAACAACGCTGTCACATTACAACTAAACAAAAAGACAAATAATAACAGACCAGCTGCTTTGCACCTTGTAATAATGAGAATCCCACAATGCTGCTGCTGTTCTTTGCATAGGGAAGTTATTTGGCACATTAAGGATAAAAAGCCAAAAACGGAACCGAATTTAACAAAACTCCAATTGCAAGTTAGTCATTATCAGAAAGCCAGACATCATCGTCGTGGCAAAGTCGAGCAAATGAAACAACCTTCTCCCCATTCAACTTAGGGAACGGCTCTTCCAACAACTGGTAGCATCAGAACTTTCTAGCAGAAAGAAAATAGAGAAATTAATGTTCAAGCCAAGATCGCATTGCTATGAATCTTAACCCAAGTCTTACTGTGCTCTTTCTTACACTGCGTAAATCCTAAGTACCAAGGAGGCCTTGATGAATGCTTTTCACATTATATATTTTTCTTAATCTCAAGTTTTAGTGCAGATACTTAAAGATCTGTCGAGTCCTGTAAACTCTGGCTGCTTTCCAGGGGTCAGTACCGACCGATCGCTTTTAGGCGGCGCTTTGTCTCCCTGGGGACAGTGTTTCACACCGTGGTGTCTCCAAAATCCTTGTTCCAGCGAATGTAGGCTTCCAGCGTCTGAGGGCTCAGGCTGCGCTTGATCTTCTTCAGAGACTCAGTGAAATCGGATAATCTGATATTCCTCATCTAGACAAAAAGAGAACAGCATTGGGATCATGAAGGGTTCATGTGCTTTGATCATTCAAGAACTACTTCTGCAGTCATTCCTGAAGAAGCGTTTTCTCTAGGTGCTTCACCTGGGCCAATGCAACAGTTTCTTGCAATTTAACACAAACAGCACTTACTATTTTATTATAAACTAACATATTTGGTAGTGGTAACTTCTGTTGTTACATGGAGGTGAAATGGTGGCACTGCTTGAGGGAACAGTAGGACAGTTTTTGGAGGATTTGCTTTTTGCCCATAGCTCTACAGGTAACAAACATTTGTACAGGTTTGCGGCATATCTCCAGGCACTGATTTTTTTCTTCATCTTCTTTACTGAAAATTGTGCTCGGCACATAGTTAATCAGTATTACTCAGCAGGCAGCAATAACAACTTCAGATTCTGCCTTTCAGGTGTTTGCTGAGAAAGGATTACGAGCAGTTACGAGCCATGTCTACGGGCCCTTGTCCAGAGCAGGTGGAACAACCAGGGAGTACTGACAGGTAAGAGACCATGTTTCTTTGGGGCTACTGCAGGTTTCCTGCAACAAATCCTTCCAAAAAACACTAAGGCTGATGTCCATGCTCTACAGCTAGACACAGAAGACAGGGTAAATGGGGTTGTGCTTTGTTCTCTCTACTGACTGAAGTGTGTACATGTATTTGGACAGAAACTTGTAGAAAGGACCAGCATCTTCCTTTTCTTTTGATATTTGCAGATGCCATCTGTGGTGAATGGCTTCATGTATTTTTTCTACTCTATAATATTCCATGTAAATGATTTATATACAAAACTCATACATACATACTCGCATACACAAAAGCTATTAAAAAAGCTTTTCCTAAGATGTCCTTTGTTCTATGTAAAGAAACAGGGGGAAAAAAAAAATCATTTAACATATTTCTGGAAAGGTTTTGGTGGCAGTGACACTATAAGCAGATAAAAGCCAGGCCTCTGATATCACCCCAGCAGATCACAGATCAAGTTGCTGTCAAAAGTAAGGGACTAGTTAGTGAAGCCTAATGAAAACGAGCAGCAGAGACGAGCTATCGTAAGGGCTGCTTTATAGCCCAATACTCAAGCTGCACAGAATTTTCTCTTACCAATATTTTTCAAGAGCTTTCTTCAATGATGAGGTACTAAAACCCTAAAGTTAACACTAACATATACATGTATGCACTAGGTATTTCATATGGTACTATGCCTAAATAAACGAACATTAACATTTTCTATTGTCCACGTGTCCTATTCGAAGGAGCAAATACAACTGCTAGAACAGCATACCTCACTGGCAGACATATTCTTCACCTGTTCTGGCTTTAGTTCTGTTAAAAAAAAAAAATCAGTGAGCTTCATAAGAAAACTTTAATCACTTCTGACAACTAAAGCACGTTAAAAGCAATACTAATCTGGGGAAAAGAAAAAAAAAAGGAAAAAAACAGCAAAACAATGGTATCTCAGCCTCATGATGTTCCATCTGTACTTAGTCTAAAATGTGGTATGACGAAGTGGACTAGTGGCAAACCCACCCGACAATCCCCGTGGCGTCCTGCCCAGCAGTACGGCTGCCTCCTCTCCAGCCCCACCAGGCTCCCCGCAGGATGCTGCGTGGATCCGGCGCCTGCCGACGTGGCACCGTTAGAACCAGCCCGCAGACACCCGCGCACCCCAACAGATCATGGGGTCACCCCCACTCCTCCCGGAGGCAGCTCCGGGAGCCCCCAGCGCCCCTCCGGCACCTCCTGGCGCCCAATGACCAGACAAGGGAAGCCGCTTCCCTCCCGCCTCAGTGGGGAGAAGGGCAACCAGGCCCTACAGCCTCCCCCCGCTTGTTATTCCTGGAATCCACAACTCCTCTCCTCCAAAATACACGCACCTAATATGCACACAACACATGCACCTTAATATTTCAGCATTTAAGAAAATGTGTCAAGGAAGTAACAGACAAGTATCTGCTTTCAAAGAATGGAGCACATGCATATGGGTGAAACTGTGTTACATAAAATGCACCCATACCCCTCTTTCCTTCCCCCTTGAAACTGAAAAGGGTTGCAAAAACTGATTTGCACACAATACAGTGATATTCCAGAGTATTTCAATCAGACTGCCCTGAATATCTCTTTACCAGGTTAATATATCTAAAAACAGAAAACTAGAATCAAGCCTTCACAATCTTAACAAAAATCATCCTGGTGATCCCCACTCAGTAAGGTTAGCTCCTTTCCATGTGGCTGCTAGAGGCTAAACAGCTAGTGAAACAGAGCAAAGGATTTTGTGCTGGTTTGTTTTAAAGTAACACGCACTTTGCATTCATATCCTGTTTTGCAAAGCTGGATATGTCACAAGAAAAGCAAAGGTAACAATTTAAGTCATAATTATCACCGCAATCCCAGTTTGGTATGGAGTAGTTGTAGAAATAAGAGGTGAAGGCAACCAAACCCTAACTCTTTCCCCTCTTCCTCTCCCGCTATGGTTTTATATCCAAGGCTGTGCAGCCAACCTCGAATGGGACCGAGCGCTGCATCCTTTGCCAGTGCAGTCAAATCACTCCCGGAGTACCCGTCTGTCATTCTTCGTGCAGAGAAGAGATCGCAGAAGAAGAAAAAAGAAGAAAACAAATAAAATGAAGAGTCTTAAAGCACTTAAAACAGACAATTACAACAAGAAATAGCATTTGGGTCATTCTGCAATTTTAATGGATCAGAAGTGCATTGACATACGGATCTGTATTTAGAGGACTTTTCCAGGTTGAATTTAAATATAGTACTCGATTCCTAGGAAAAAGATCGCAACCAATGAGGACCTGAAAATGAAAACCAATCTCTATCATATTATTGTTTCATATTAATGCCCAACCATTAGTTATTATTTGCTGCAGGGTGATATCAAAGTGGAAACTCAGCTCTTCTGTATTTTTTCAGACCAATCAATACTACCAGAATCAAATACCAAATGCACTGGATATGTTTGTCAGAAAACTGATCGTAATATGCAGATTTAGTTGACTCTAGAGCCAGAGAAAAACACACACAAGTATTACTGCAAACTGAACAGGATTATCTAAGTTTGAAAATAATATTTCACAGTATGCCACTCATGTAAAGTCACTGTACAGCATCATTTCTGGGGAAAATGCCTTTTTTTAAATGGTGATGAAAGTTTAGTAACCGATAGGCTCTTCAAGTGCAAACTGCAAATTCCAAACAGCTCACGGCTGATGAAAACCACGCGCTGAGAAGCTTGCCTAATGCTTTGTCAGACTACTAAAGCAGGCTAGGGACCCATTTTCCATATGGAAAAATATAACAATGTCATATCTGTCTCACTAAACTCCAAAGTTGAGATCACAGCCTAAATCTGGAAATGCTAACAACCAGGAACAACATGAGACCTTCACGGCTGCAACTGTCCGAGCCACAATCTCAGTACTTGAAGCCTAAACATTTTTCACATTAACTGCAAGTGACAATGATTATGTTTCGGCTTGGAAAGGAGAATTCAAAAAAAAGAGTTGTATAAAGTGGAATATGGGTGAGCACATGTGTCAGACACATTTGAGTTATTTTTCTGTTTGTGACCTATGCCAAAATCAGGTGAAATTCAAAAACCTTTTGATTTATTCCATTCTTTATTCCATTCAGACTTTCCGAACAACAGTTAGCGGCACGTGATGGTTCGTCCGAGTGCCTGAACAGCAGCTCCTCAGCTGGACTGAGCTTGAGCCATTCCTTAATGAACAGCCGATTTATCATGGACTATTTCAATTCCCATAGCAAATGTTGTTTAATTTGTCAGTGATCTGTTTAGGATCCCACATTTGAGGATCCAGCAATAGTAATAAGTAACAGCTTGGATATTAGCAGTTCAATTGATTAAAAAACACCTCAAGTGAACTGAAAGCAAGATATATTGTTATCTCTTGTGTCTTTACAATATGACAGGCAGAGATATGGATAATTCAAATTCTCAGAATCACAACAAAGAAATCAAAGACCCCTGGGCTTTCTGAGAGCTTAACATTTAGGATTTATTTTCCAAGTTACCTAGCAAAATGCTTCAATACTAAAGAAGTTATCCCATGAAACAGGAGGCCAGCAGTAAATACTACCAAAATTTGCAGAAGTAGAAGTAAGGATTACCTGAAGGAAAATATAACACAACAAAGAGCAAAACAAACAGCTCTGTACAACAGTGGCTTCCCAAAAGATGCATTGCTCACTCTTTCATAGTTTTTAGAAAAAGACGTGGAGGGGGAAAGAGTTCACAAAATAAAGTCAGTCAAACACTAATCTCTCTCTAACCAAAAGAAGGATGGCAGAAGAAGGTGTGCTCAACTGAATAAACTCTTTAAAAATTACATCTTTATGTTGCACTTGTGATGAGGTGCATGATCCTGCACTTGGAATGGGAATCACAGCCTTCTCTCTCCAGTTGGCCACTACAGCAGCCTCCGTGCAGCCCGAGCTGCTCTCCTTCACGCACGGACCTTATTTCTTCACTTGGACTCTACGGCCAATTCCTGTAATGTTACTAGCACCCTGGGATGGACAAACACCACATCCAGGGCACTTCCTGCTTCGGGACCACCACAAATGGACAAGAGACTGAACTACAGCCACTTGAACGTTTTTACTCTCTCTCATTATTTTTCCCCTTCCTTCTGCCCTAGGCACCTTTCTTACTTTTTGATCTAGTTTACATGATACTCATTACAAATGCTGTGTAGGAAAAGCAGGTATTTAATCTGAGGATTATACACATTACCATTCTGTCAATTTTATAATGAGAAAACATTAAAACAGTTTCATAATAGGAAGGGCATTTCACTAATATTTTTTCCAATCAAATATAAAGCATAAATTAAGCTACTGGACATAATGGAAGTTAACCAATGCTTGCTAGCTGGCAGTGCCTTCAAAAAACAATAGACAAGCAGAGAAAAACAAAACAAAACAACAAGCAAACAAAATCTTATTCAAAAAACATTTCAAGTGGAAAACTGGTACTGTCTTTTGCATCAGGAAAAAAAGTCGGATTGCCTGGGGCATGGGTACGGAGATGCTTCTCACTCACTTCTCAGAAGTGTTTCAACAATAAAATAAACCTGGGCAGGAGAGGAAGGGAGAAAAAACCCCACTATTTATATAAAAGCATATGGGAAGCACACATTCAGGTGGTTTGACAAGAAAACCTTTTCCTGATGTCTTCTAAAGCCTTCCCAAAAACACATGTAAATCATTCTCAGCAAGTTTTGTCACTAGCTGACGCTTAACATCAGTTACATTCAGAATTAATAAAATCATATGAATTGATGCAGTAGAAGACTATTTTTAGTTCAAGGACTCACCTAGCTAGTTGTGCCAGCTCTTTTTGGGTCAGTGGACTTCCTTGCTTGCTTAAGAGATTTTTTAGCAAAATCAATCTTGTCTGAAAAGAAGATGCATTTATCAGATGAAAACTTACTGTTACGACATACAGCTTACATTCCCTTGCAGCAACAGAACTACATGTTTACCAGGTCAGGTTTTGTGCCTCACTAGTATAAACTTGCCTATAAAGCTTTTCATTACACTGTAAATGATAGTCCCTTGAGAGGGAGATTTGACAACTAGATCAAGGGTCCAACTGGTTGAAGTTTCCGGTTCTCAACATGCACTAAATAATACAGCAGAATTGTCGTCAAGACCCTTGATGCGACGTTCAGCTTTCTTAAAGCAGAGCTCTTCAGCTGCTTTCATCTTTTGCAACAAACCAGTCTAGCCTGCTTCTGCAAGTCCTATTCCAGGCTTGTTTGTGCCTGCTTGTATAAGCAACACCTCACTAACCAAGAAACATGGAGAAATTACAAAATTACTACTAGATCTACTAGCAGTAACTAGATCAGAACGTAGCAGCGTATGAGAGCCAGGAGAATTAAAGCAAAATGGATATTGTGTTTTATGCAGTCAACAGTTAATTCACCAGATTGTTAGCTATGATCATCCGCTAGGGCAAGTTAAGTACTGCCTACAAAATACTCTTTATTTCACCAAATTGATCTCGAGGAAAATGAATGTAAACCAGTACTTACTTCCTCATTTGGTAAAGACACATACACCCGTTTGGTGAATCGCCTTAAACAACAACAAAAAAGAGAAATTATTAGCAAAAGAGAAACACACAGATCTTAAAATTGGCTTTAAAAGGACCTTGTGGCCTCTCACTATTAGATGAGGCACTTGAACTGCATACAATATGGGTTAGTAGCAACAAAATCAACTGTATTCACAGCAAATATTGAGTATGAAATTACAGAATTTGGAATAGTCATGACTCTTACTAATCCTGTTAGTAGAATCATGAAAACAAAAAGCAGCAGAAACTGTTGTTAGCTCCTGCTTCCTCTTCTCAGCAGTTTAAGCCAGACAACAGCGCAGTCTAAAGTGTATGGGACAACCTTCTCATTATCCATCCTTGCATTAAGTGACCATATTGTGGGATTATACTTCTCTACCCATTAGATCAGCTAAGCTTTTCCTAGGGAGCACTCTCTATGGTCAAGTTAACACATTTCTGCAGTCCACAGAGAAACCACATTTGGTTTGATAAATGTGACAATATTCATATCAAATGGACAAGCCATTAGGGACACCTTATTCGTAACAAGGTCGTGAAAACTCCTTCCACACTGAAAACCTTCCACAACAAAAAGGTTCCACAACAAAATGAAGCATCTCTTCACCATGCAAAAACAGCCCTTAGAATCATTAGCATTTTTTAATTTGTTCAGAGTTGACAAGCCAGTTTCCCTCAGTGGAAAATGGAGAGTCAAGTATAAGAACTAGTTGCAAAGAAGGCCTCAAGGAAAATCTAATGCAAGGGCATGGGAGGTACCACTGCCTGCCTGCAATTGCACAAGTCCAATGTTCAGAGAAGCAATGCTAGATTTCATCAGTCAAACTTCTCCCTTTAGCCTGCCATTAAGATCCAAACAGGGAAAGCAGCAACCCGTAAGATAAATGGGTTATGAAACACTGACTTGGTCTCACCAGCCACTACTTCTTCAGATGACTTCAAGGCCATCGCGCTTGTGTTGGGGCAGGCCGAAAGAGCAGGGCAGCCCCTCTTTGAGGAGCTAAATTTAACATCCCTGAACAACTTCTCTCACATAGCCCAAAACTTAAAACACCCAGACACTGAGCAGCAATACCTGCTGTTCACAATAAGCAGCATATTCTTGCATTCCAAAGCAAGAGACATTTTGATACCTGAGAACAGCATCATCAAGCTCCTGCGGCCTGTTGGTTGCTCCCATCACTAGTATCCTGTCCTCTCCGGAAGACTGCACCTACAACGTAGGAAACCAGCTCCTGGTTTATATTCCGTAACGCAACAAAAACAGTTAAAAACTTGTCATGCAAGTTGACTGCATTGATGGAATTTTACTGTAAAAACGCTCACACGTGTTAAACTTTTTCTGAATTTGTAGTTACATCCCCTATTTATTTCCTTCTCCTTGTCCTCAGATACTGGCTGTCCAGGTACCTTCCTTGTAAAGTCTTGCAAGAATACAAATGTTGCTCTGCAATTACACTTTGTAACACTGCAAAAGCACTCAAATTTAGTCATCCAGAAATAGTTATATTTTAAAAAAAGGCAAGACACTTGTGTTTTTAAGACCCAACATTGTTTTGAAGCCCACAAAAAAGGAAATGAAAACTTTGGGCTGAAGCACAGCCAGAACCACTAAACCACATCAGGGATCCATCTGATAAAAGTCTCACCAGAAGCCAGTAATCAAAATGAGTGGTTATTCAATACTGTACTGACACAGATTTGCAGTCAATTGCAGGACTGGGTTCATATCCAAGCTTTTGCAGCCTCACAGCTTCCAAACTACAGAGAAAACATTCGGCTATCAGAGACTTTACACCATTCATCAGTTGTCAAATTCCTCATGGACTTGTTAAATCTTTGGGTATAGTAACACCAATAAGTTCCACTATTAAGAAAATAAGTGATTAATACAGATATATCTCCATTTTAAGACTCCTAACTTACTATGTCTGATTTTCCCCTATTAATTTTATTTAAAAAATGGAGGGAAGAGGCAAATGGATGCAACTTATTTCTGCGCATAAACGTCACTCTGCATTACCCATCCCCATTCATCCCTCTGGACAAATTTCTTCTCATCTTGCCCACAATTGTCATCTCCTTCTGCACCCTGCCACCCTTTCTCCTTCACTGTGCTAATGGATTAACAACAAACAAGTCTACCTGACAGAAATACATTCCAATTTTCATTTGTCCTTTTTTTTTTTTTCCCCTCCAATCACATAACCATGAAACCTAAACACCCAGTTCCTTTATCTGGGTATTGCATGTGCATTTCATTATTCTTTTTATATCCTGACATTTTTGAGTTGAGGAGAGAAAAAGAAATCAATAGCTCAGCAAAAATCAGACTAAGAGATGTGTGTTAGAGCCGTATAAATCAATATAGACCAGAGATAGGTCAAAACTAGTCAATTTGAAATCCCCAAGTTTCACATTATCTCTTTACAAGCAGCATGCTTTTATAACTTAAAAAAAAAGACATTATGAAAAGCCATTTAATGTTCTTTTATTTTGCTAGACTGAAGATCTGCTCTTCAGCAAAACACGGCATTGCAAACAACAATTTAACTGCTCAATCTGCAAGTGTCCCCTTTCCCCTGCAAGAACGTTTGTTCTCACTGTTACTTTATTATTTCTATTTTGTTATCCTTTTTTCCTCTTCTTTGTCCAACCAGTCTTTCAACCCACCTTTTCAGCTCATCACCAAATTACTCCGTTACCCTTCACTCGAGACCAACTTTTCCAGTGAGCAGGTAAAGAGAAAACGAAAAGAAACTAGCAGAACTAAACCTGAACAGCCAAACCTGACTCATGCTTCACTTGCAGCTTGTATTGATACCCAGTACATTACCCAATTCAGCTACATCAAGCAATAGCCAAGGCTAGATACTTACACCATCAAATTCTATTAAAAATTCTGTTTTTAGACGTCTACTAGCATCATGTTCACCTTCTCTTCTTTCACACAAAAGGCTATCAACTTCATCTAAAATAAAGAAACAGATCTTAGTTAGGCTTTCAAGATTAAAGCCTGCATACTTGCCTAAGTTACTTCTCTATCACTTGGCTCCAGCAAGAAAGCTGAAATATTCATTCCCCAGGAGACAGAGACCTTAGTAAATAGATTTCTCATCTCACCATGTGTTGCCCTTTAAATACATATTACGAACTATAGATAAAAAGAACAAAAAAAAAAAAATCTGTTGGATAATAGACTGCATCCGGGACAAGCAAAGCCCATTTTCATGTTTCTAGTATAATACAGAAGTCGAATTGCTCTGGAGAGGGGGGTGTAACACAGGTGCTTTTGAGGGCATTTCCCTCTGGTTATTAACACCAACTCAGTAACAGAACAGAAATCAAATGCACTGTCTATATGGATTAGCCTGCCAGTTTATCACTGAGACTGGTTAATCTTTCTAGCTCTGGACTGCAGAATTACCCTCCAGAAGTTTATTTGACACTAAGGAAGCCTGTTTATGAAGGAAGTATGTTTATGACAATACACAGGGAATGAAGAACATTTGTCTTACCTATAAAAATTATAGAAGGCTGAAGTTCTCTGGCTACTGCAAACAGAGCTCGCACCAGTTTCTCTCCTTCACCCACCTAAAAACAACAATAAATTGTTTTTGTGGCAATACTTTTTAAATTTATTACCAGAGAGCCAACATAAGGACATGCAGAAAATGCTGCCTACAAATGGTGAAGCTCAATCCATTCCTATATTCTAAGATTTCCACCAGTTCAGTGTAACACAGAGCAGCACTATTTAAGGTTCAAAAGAAACATTAGCACTTTACTAGTTATTTCAGTAAGAATTTTTAAAGAGAGTTTAGTGCCTACACATGAAAAGCAGCTGAAACACCCTCTTCCTTCACACTTTCATAGGGAAGGAAACACCCCCAAGCACTCTTCTGTAGGACAGCAAGGGTCATTCCGAACTAGAAAAGTCCTTAACACTGAGCTCTCACAAGCATAGAAGAAAACTGTGACTTCATCAGCCACTTTTCTACAATTATGTGCAACAAATTCACTAAGTCCTTTGTCCTCTTACACCACAAATACCATTGCTGGCAAATTAACATGACTCACAGCTACTACTTACATATTTCGAAGTTAGGCTTGCTGCACTTATATTAAAGAAAGTAGCATTTGATTCTGCAGCAACCGCTTTGGCCTGGTAGGAGAAAAAAGAACACAATGTCATACTGAAGGTAAGCTATTTTCTTTTAAAATATCTTCAAAGAGATTTCATGTAAATTCACACTGTGCAGGAAAGCAAACAGCCATATTGACACAGTTCTGGTAGACCAAAACCCTCTACAGATACATTTCCATACACTCCCTGAATTCTTCTAGACTCAGTACTCATTCTCAAAGGTCAAAAGCACGCACAGCAAGGAATATAGGGTTACTCACTGACTACTATTTGAAGACTGCTGAGACAGCTTGCAAGTAGTTACTTCACATTATGATTATGAAACCTACAAACCTCACCTTCTGAAGCTGTCACTCATGCTCTAATTGATGATAAAAAAGAAACATTTTCCTTCAAAGGGAATACCTTGTGAATGTTACATAAAATGTCTATGAAGGGCACTTAAAAATAGGAATGAATAATGGATAGGACTGGTCCAACCACTAGAGTTGCCCTTACATTTTTCTAATCGTAACTCTATAGCCAAACATAACTTGTTCACTGCAATATGATATGAATAAGTCTCAACTCCCCTCAAAAATATATCCAGCAAACGTTTAAAACAGCTAAAATTCAATAGTGTGATAATTTAGTTGGATCAAACTACGCTAACAATTTCACCTTTCTTTCTCACCCTATTCTCATAAAGGCTGTTTTCACAGAAAAGCTAGGGAAAAGGAATCTGTTCGGCCAAAACCCTTCCAGACCACCCTTCTCAACAGTTCCATCCTACCCCCATGCTGCGCTGTGGGGGCCACCCCATCGCAGCCCCAACCTGCCCCACCAGGCACCAGCACCAGCCGCTCCTGGAGCAGCTGCTGGGCTGAACCACTTGCCACGGGAGCGTGTTCTCTGGAAAAGGAAGCCTGGCCTTGCAAACTGAAGTTTTAAAATACTGGAGAGAATTAAGCTCAATAATATCTTAGCAGTTTATGCCCGGCACCCAAAAAATGAGACTACCTACAGTTAAGAAAACAGGGTATTTTCAAATTCAAATGAAACCGTTACACAAATCCAGGAGGAGTTTATAGCTCACTAATGCAATACCTGCAACACCAAGAATCTTTTCACATTTAAGAGACTGGAAGTGCTCTGTTAATTTCATCCCAGTGCCACTGGCCACAACAGTTTCAGCATCACCTTCACCCTCCAGTTGTGAGCTCTGCAGTGTACACCGCAGCAAGCTTACGCCAAACTCTCAAGGACAAGAAAATCCTCCAGTGTTGCAATTCACTTGACTTCTGAAAATGTGAGCAAAATACTCCAAAAAGGTATGGGCACTCAGACGCTTGCACATATTAGAGATAGTTCCCCAAATATACCTGTAACAAGGTGCACACACTGCACTAAAACTATCCTATTGAAACACCAAGTATCAACTTCCTCCAGATAATAAAATGCCTGCAGGATATATATGAAAAGCCACCTGCTTATTAGCATTTGCCGAGAACCACACAATACAAACCACCACTGGAAAACACTGAAGTTGAGATACTGAAAGCCACCGCTCATGGTTATCTGTTACACCCATCAACTCTTGCATGCAGGAGTTCTCTTACCAACATTGTCTTCCCATTTCCCGGAGGGCCAAACAGCAACAATCCACGTGCAGGAGCCCTAAGTCCTGTAAATAACTGAAACATGCATCTTAGGTTACCTTCAAGGAGATGAACTGTTACAAAGCCAGTATGTGAACACTTGGACTTAGCCCTTGGACTCAGTATGTTTTTGTAAAACTCCACAAATCCCATTTGGCTTTAGTTCTTAGGCTTCAACCCGCTGTGTTTAGAGAAGAAAACTAAATTACTCAAGGGAGATCTTTACTTTCTATTTCTACCTGGAGCTAATGCACATGGCACTATTGCTTCCCTGGCCACTAGCTAAGTCATGATCATTGTGTGCATAGATGTGCTAACATGCCTCGGGGCAGACAGTCCATTAAGTGTAAAGCATCAAATTAAAGTTAAAAAAGCAGCCCAGGCATGCACATACATGTGTGGGACAGAACAGAGCAGCAAAGGCTCTGCTCTCATACAGAATGAAAAAACCCACTTTCCTCAATTCTTTTTTCAATAAGATTAGGTTTTGTTCCAAGACTATTTGAAATATTACTTAATAAGCACCTTCTCCCTCCAAATCCCCTTTTATCACTCATCATCTCTTCCCTCCCATTTTGCAATGTATTTTTTTGACACAGTGTAAGTTTGCACCAATCACAGATCTACAAGCTCTCACAGAAGACAACATCTCCTCCATTTTTTCTTGCTGTCTCTTATCCCCAGTGTTTTACCTTAGCACTTTCTGGAGAGTTTTACAGTTCCAGTTATGGACTTCATGCTTACCACTCCATTTTAGCTTCCAGTAATTCCTTAGCATAAAATTGGGATAGATAAGAATCACCAATATAAACCATGCCTAAATACCACTCTCAGATGGTATTCCATCATAAGAAATGACTGCATTACAAGTCTGCCCTGTCTGAGATAATCAACATGCATTTTTTTCCCTAGTATTTCATCTTTCACAACATTTAGGTCATGCGTCATCCTCTCCATTCACTTCAGTTCTTGCTCTCCTACAAAAAAATACCATTAATTGATTTGTTTAAATATAAGATGAAGGCCCAAAAGGCTATTAAAATTAACACTGTATTCATATTTAATTGAAGACAGATTCAATTAATTGCCACAGCCATCATGTGATTTTTTTTTTCTTTAATAAAATGGACTCACAACACTTTTTCCTAAGGTATGAAGTTTAAAAAAATCATGTATTATTCTGTTCTGGTTCAGATACTCTGCATCTCAGACTACCCTAAGGTCAAGCCTACTGATAGCTCTAGAATTAAGGAAAAGCTCTCCCTGAATCTATCAGCTATTCTGAGAAGAGCCCGTTTCAAACAGGCTAACAACTGTTTCAACCCCCCCATTTCAGGGGCATTCCCACTCAGCTCACCACACAAGTATTACTAAACATACTTGACATTCTAAAGCACCTAAGGCTCTCGAGACACTGCAATGAGGTTTTCCTTCTGTAGAACACCAGAATATGCATATTTGACATCAAAGCTTTGTTTACATTGGGTCTATTATTTCTGTTATTCTATACCAGGTTTGGGTTTCTCTCTGCTACCTTTTCAATCCAGAAGAGTATTAAAAGGAAACTAGAAGACAACTCAACTCTGATCAGCAGCCAGTATCTCTCTCTTTCTCACATACAGGAAAACCTGTGTTCAGTTTCTGCAAGTTTCTAGCAAGACCAGCATTTTGAGCAGCTGACTAATTAAAAAAAACAAACAAAATCCGCCTAAGTGGCTCAAAATTCTACCGTGATGCAGGCTAGACCTGAGCCTAACAGAAGCCTGAATAATCCATTCCCATCAAGCCCAATAAGATGGGATAAGCCAACCCCAAATGTTACACACCTGAATGCACTGGCTTGTTCCGTGCTATATTTCCCTGCTGTGAACAGGTTGTTCAGAATATCTAAAAACCCATGGAGAATGTGACCATAACACTCATTTAATATGTTTTATGAGACTGCATAAGTTATGATAACTCATCTGTTTCACTCCAGTTCTGAGCTTTACCACTTACACTTTCATCCATAGTTGGATGAATAGCTTAACTGGAACAGGCAACCTCAGTAATTTTTTTTTAATAGTAATAATAATTATTATTATTTATTCAGAAAGCTCACACCTCAGTTAATCTTTTGGACAGTTAATGTAAGAAAAAGGAAGAACTTCATGGTGGTATTTTAACACGTGTTCTTTATCCTCCTTTTCAGGAAGACTATCACGACCCAGCTACTGAAAGCCATCCTAAGCAGCACAGACAGGATTCAAGAAACACCACTACATGTGTGAAGTACAATACATTTCTTTGATTCTACCCCAGAAAGATAACAATACTCAATTGCTTACCTCAGGTCTAAGAGAAGGAAGGATAACAATCTCTTGCAAAGCTTGCTTAGCCAGTTCCTGCCCAGCAATATCATCAAATTTGACAGCTGGCCCACTAACAAAGAAATGAAAGGCTAATTAGGCCAACAATGAGCTACTTCTTGGCTGCAGCTGACTGGTTTAATGCATATGACAGAACTATTTTGAAGCAAAGCACAATTTACCATGCTATATCTTTCACAGTATAAGCATCTGACTTCTGATTCTTTTAGTCAAGTGGAAAGAAAATATGCTTTTTTAAATTGCTAAGAGAATCAGGATTGTATGAAATACAAAAACAAATTCAAGAAGGTACCCTAATATAGAAGAACCCACTTTTCCTCAGACTTACCTGTCAACAATTTCATTCAGGATGAGATTAGCAAGATTACTGTCCACATTTCTAAATATCTTTGTGTCTTTCTTTTTCCGAGCAGCAGGGGTAGGAGTTGAAGGCTTATTTGTTCTGCTATTTTTAGGGGCAGCCTTGAGTGGAGGGGATGGAAAAGAAAAATAAAACAAGAATATTTTATAGCATATTGTTTAAAAAAATCTACACTCCATTTTCTCATGCAAAAATCTAACTTATTAACAAATATCAGATATTCTTATATTGCATTTTACTACAAATCACACTATTGTATTCAGCCATAGGCACAGCATCTTAGACTCTAGAAGATGCCGTTTCCTAATGTTAAGCTTAGATCTATAAAGAAAATTAGTTTTAAGATGTACACCTAAAATAAGGCAGTCATGTATTCCCAGCACATATAAACAAAAACATCTACCACTGTAATACCCTAATAACAGGCCCCTTAAGTGAAATCCTATTATAGCAGCAATGATGTTCACTGAAGTTCATCTCTTTCTCCCCATTTTTCCCATGTTGTCCTACTTTGCCGTGATATGGAAAAGGGATGGAAATAAGAAGCAGAAGAATTGTAGCGTTTTCTGCCTTACTAGCACATGAGGGAATTTTATATTTCACTCACTGCCTAATCACGGCCAGCCTTCCAATGCTGCAAAGGCTGCAATGCAACCTGTGCCTGTAGACTCTGCTTGTGAAATACTCTGCAGTCCTGCACTAACATTTACTTTCTATATCATTTATACACTAGGAAAATATCCATCTTTACTCTAGCTAGATATTCCTCAGTTTCCAGTGTGGATCTCGAAATAAAGTATTATGTCCACTACCACCATTGGAGGTAAATGTCATCTTTATCACCTTCTGCTTTCTAAAACAGGCTCCACAGCTTTGCCTAGAGTCTCTAAAATTAATCTTAGATTAGAGCCTAAAATTTAATTTTACAAAAGCATATACTTGTTATTAGACCACTGCAAAACTACAGCAAAAGCATGAACTCTAGAGTTGTTCTGGATTTTGCATGACATGTCCAGGCATGTGTAAGCCCCTCCACCCTCAGCATACCTTGTGAGCTGATGCTGCAGGATTAGCTGCTGGTCTCGACACAGAAGAGGACGATATCCCACTGTAGCTGGGTGTCCTGTGGTGACCTGAAAGGCCCGTGGATCCACTTTTTGCAACGGTTTTCGAACGGGGAAGGGAATTACTGCTGTGTGTTAATGGATCCTTCTTTTTCGGAACTGCTCCGCTCTCTACAACGAAAACCAATGTTGGGAGAAGAAGTTTCAGCAATTGTACTGACCAGCACTTATTCTTTTAGCATCAGCTCCAACTGGAAGATAACCTTGTTCATGCACATAACGCAGAATTAGAATAATGTAGGTTCTATATAAAGGCTAACAGCACTTTCAAGGAATTACTTAGATTTCTGATAGAGTAAATTTTGAATTTTTTAGGAGCTCTCAAAATCTACAGCTATCTTAGAAACACTGGAGAAGTTCAATTAGAAGTCCTGCAACAAGGAAAGAGCACCTGCTGTTACTTTACTGAAGCAGAGAGAACACAGACCAAAAGTTTATTTTCCCCCAGAACTTTAGAAAGTCATTATTATAACAATAAGCACCCAAATTTCCATCCACTAGATGAGGGCATCCATTAAGTGATACAAGTCAGCTGGCTACTTTGGATGCTAGCTAAGAATTTGTCAAGCATCTTCCATTCATAGAAGCTTTACTAAGGGTTTTAGTTTGGGAAAAGTAATAGTTACAACTGCAAGCAACTATTAGAAGCTTTTGCTTACAACTTGATTCATTTCAGAAATCTCAAAGGGTAAGTTAATTTTGAATGAATAGTCCTGCAGCAGCATATCTCCCTACTTTCAAAATTAGTCTTAAACTTCAGAACATTAAATTCAAACAAGATGCATAATTTCCTTCATGCTTATTCAAATTCACCTTCATGCTGCAGCATCGAGGTGTGAGATTTGATTACTGAAAGTTCAACATAGTGGCCACAGATGACAAAACTAAGAAAAAGCTATTTTGATCCAAGAGGAAAAGAAGTAGGCAACGCTTATTCCTCCAGGAGACCCTCATGGAGGATGCAGAAATCAAGGTTCACTGGCTCAGACTTGGCTAACAAAGCACCAGGACACAGACTAGAGGCAAGAACGACCTTTAGAAAGCAGAGCACACGGGCTGGCCAAGGTAGTTAAGGACGGCAGCACCGCAGTGGTCTGTGTTGTGCAAATACAGCACTGGCAGCAACATTTCTTAGTACTGTTGACTGAAATGGAAGCTGTAAATAACGCCTTACGTTAGATACTTATAAAAATAATTAGAGTCTTAAGTAGAAGGTTAAAGCCTTAAAGAAGCTCAAGAACAGACTTAAGCTACAAGTTTCTTTAAGATTTTTTAAACAGACAATCAATGGGCTAGAGAATGCTGATTTTTAAGCAGTTAAAGGTTTCATGAAGCATTTTCACTTTATGAAATTGTAGTTCAGATGAAAAACAATCCTTAAAGGTAGAAAGCCTCATCCTTTGAAAAGCTCTATTTAAAAAATTAACTAGGGATACTTCAGGGAAAAAGTATTACTAGTTTTAATATCTATATTTACTTTACTCTTTAGAATGGTTAACTAAATTCTACCATGTTTAAAGACTTTTTAAATATAAAAAAGACCCCACACACTATGAAGAGTGAATTCTTATACAGCCTGCAGTTATCCCTGTGATCATTAGCCCAAAAAGCTTCCAAAACAGGCAGGTAGGCAGCCCTCCTTTGGTCACAAAGGCACCCGTTTTAGGAAGGGACAGAGGTTCTGCAGGGGTCCTCACAAACACAGCAGCAAATGGGTCAGCATGCGAAGCACAGGGCAGCTGGGAGAATGCAAGCAAGAACACTGACACAGCTGTAAAAGGGTTCTTGTCAAAAAGAGCCATTTGACTAAAACACTCAGATAAACAGAGTTGCTAAGTTTAAACCTTCCTGAACAATAATTTCCAAATCAGAAAAAGCCTTCAGTTTTACTTTGCAACTTTCAAAGTCGAAAAGTAGCACAGCAATCTATTACAAAAACGTGCTAACCAACACCAGATACAACATCCAAAATCTGTCAATCCAAAATCAGTCTCATTTGTATGCACTTAAGGACAACACAGAGAAAAAAATATTTGATTTTTGAAGCCTTCCCAGCTTTTTCACCCTAGCATGTTGCTGAATTATCAACATTTTGGTGTTTCAGATGATGAATATGTTGAATGAACTTCTCTAGATAATGTCTATCTATTGAGAAGGATGCATATGTAAGACAAGGCAAATTTTGAATGTGGTGTATTTTCTCAGGTAAGGAGCACTTCAGGAAGCTGGAAATGCAGGGAAAACAGAAAGGGAAAACAGAAATATTTTAAAAGCAAATTACAGTTCAGTCTAGCTGAACCTCCAGGAATCAAGACCACTAAGATGCGCTATGATCATTCCTCATGGGAAATGCAGAAAGAAAGAAGTGCAAAGCAATTACTCTTAAACATAGTTGCTCTGTTTCCACACAACAGGGGGACTTCATTGATTACACAATTTCTCAGCGAAGAAACATAAAGAATTTAATCAAGCCTAGAAATGAAACTGAGAGAGTTCAGTCTACCCTTTTAACCTATGAAAATATTCCTTGTTAAACACACAAATACAGCTGATTGAATTTCTAATGTTTCACTCTACTTATATGCAGCAGCAATAAATGCAAAACCCTTAGAGTGCATTTCTTATCTTTTTGTACCTACATAGCCCTAAAACTGAAAATCTGTTCATGAGTGGCTCAAACTTATCTCTAGCAGCCTTTTGCCAAACATCTCATTGCTTTATACAAAATGTTGAGCAAGTGTCTAGTATATGTGCTAATTACAAAAGAAATGACCATATTTCAAGTATATTCAAGACACTGAATAATTTAGTAGTCTACTTCATATATTTATTGTTAGAGGACAGTAATATGGGCTTGAAGATTTTGAATTTATTCTAATTCTTAACTGGACTACTTTACTGTAAAGCTTCTAGTTAACACCACTGGAACAAAAAAGAAGACTATCTGGTCCAAAGAGCATCCCTGAAACTTCAATCTGCTGCTTTAGTTTATACACATCACAGGTCATGATGAAGCAAGCAGCAAAAACCTGTGTGAGGTTTTCTGTTGATTAAATTATGAGAAGTTACAAAGGCAGGCACCTGACTCCAGATTCTTCTTGTTTTGTTCATTGAAAACCAAGACAGGTCTTAAAGCCTATGCTGTTTTAAGCTCCTTAGACACCAAAAAAAAGTCTAAACGAAAAGCCAAAAACAGCCCCAGTGCAGCAGAAGTGTCCAGCCTTTACAGCCGAAACCCCCTCAAATCAGCAGTAGTTAGAAATTCCTCACTTATGCTTGTTGGTAACAGAAACAAATAACTTCTTAGTCACTCTAGCTGCTTAGCTATACATTTCCTGCTAACATTACATAATGAATTACATCCACTAATTGAAAGAAGTAGTTATGCAGGATCAACATTCATTATAGGTCCAAATTAATAATTCCTTCAAAGAATACATTCCAATTACTTGAATGCACCTAGTGGAATAACTCATTTATAAAAACACCATCAGAAACTAACAAGACTCTGTTCTGCATTTTGTATCCAAATGTAGCCACATGGGTCAAAGAGAGTTTCCCTTTCTGAACTGACAGAGACATGAGTGTAAAACATCTGCTGCTGTCAAATTGTGGGGCTAAAAATGAATACTTATAGAATATAATGGATATTATGTTACTATCTGTTCTTCCATTTGAGAACTACCACAAAAAGGAGCTAAAAAAAAACCCCAACATGATACACACACAAGCACCTCTCTTATTATCAGCTAATTTTCTGCAACCAGAAGGTTTGCATTTTATGCTGAACATGAAATTATATATTGCAACTGCTGTAACACTACTATTATTGCATGGCAATGAAAACTAAATTCTTTACAAATATATCAAAAATGCCTTTGCAAGACTGACATAAAAATATAGGAGAATATATATCTGAAGAAAACAGAAATCCAGGCTTCTTTGCATCTAATCTAAAACAATTCTAAGCATAAGATCGACAAACTTTTATATATATATATATATTCTATATACACACATACATAAACATGTGGAAAGCATATAGGAAGGGAACAGCAGGAAGGGAAGCATATAGGAAGGGAACAGCAGGAAGGGAAGCATATAGGAAGGGAACAGCAGGAAGGGAAGCATATAGGAAGGGAATAGCAGGAAGGGAAGCATATAGGAAGGGAATAGCAGGAAGGGAAGCATATAGGAAGGGAATAGCAGGAAGGGAACTGCCAGGCAAAGTCATTCCCAGATGAGCCAGGCACCTTGCAGCTCCATCTCCGCTCCTTCCTGCGCAGTTCTAAAGTGGTTCCCTCGTCCACCTTCTATAACAGACCCTAAGTAGGGCTCTCTGCAGGGAAATTCAGCAGTACCACTTCCCAGAAGTTCATCAGCAGCAACATCCTCTGCTGCAGGAATGCAGAAAATGAAAACTCCTGCCACAGAACTGGCAATGTGTTCATTTCAAGCAGATACGAACGGACACTCTCCTTACGCTTCGCTATTGACAGATGTAGGTAGATTTAGGAGAAACAGACGTCCAGTCTAGCCTTCTCCTGCAGCATCAAACTCTAAGAAGAGGTGGAAAAATATGGCAAATAAAGCCAAAAGAAAAATTCCTTAAAGAAAGTGTTGTTCATTTTGGAGCAGATGGAACATCTCATCAATTTCTATGTATGTGTCTACTCATCTAATCACCAATTAGCCAACTAGGTAAGGATATAGGAGTTTTATTGGCTACTTCCGAAGCAGAAGTTTAATCTACTTTGGAATTTCAGCAGCCATTTTATCTACAAATGCAAACCAAATAATGATTTAAGCGCCTAACAAAACATGGCAAAGGATAAAAATACTTTGATGGAAAGGATAAAAATCATTCTTCCTTCCTGTCAGAGAAGGCTGTTCCCCTCCCCTGTTCTAATTGTATATCACTTGTATACATACAATTGTAGATATACAATTGTATATCTAATTGTATATATTCAGAGCTAAAAAAAAACCCATAAATAAATAAAACAAGGCAAATGCATATTCACTGTCACAATGTTATAAAGCAAGAACTACACACATAGGTTTTAAAAAAAACTGTCACTAAAAGTAGAGGTAACTTGCTGATGCCCTTGATTTTGACACTTCTAAAGGAACTATAACTTAATTCCTTTAAGTACATAACATGAGATATATTTGCTAAATGTTCTCAATAAACAGCTTTGGATTCTCATATATGAGTTAATAAGGAATAAGGAGGGTTGTATTAAGACCAAACTGCACGCTACAAAATAAAACAGTGTTACCAAAGCTATAGAAAAGATGGAATATATTTTATATAAAGCCTTTAAAAACAGAAATACGAAGCAGAATATGAAAATTTTAAAAAGTTTCTGGGTCCAGAAAATAGAAAACATTTTTTTTTTTTTTATCTTGTAATATACCAGAAACTGAGAGACTTCCCCTTACCAGTTAGGCCCTGGTAAACCAAACCCACCTGACTGGAGATGTCCATTGCGGCATGCCAGGTTAGTACTGTCATTATAGACCTCCATTTGCGGCTTGGAAATTTGCAAAACTGCCTGCAGCTTCTCTACGCAGTAGACAGAAGGGGGGAGGAAAAAGGACAAAATAAACAAATAAAAAAAAACCAACAAAAATGAACCAAGAAAGTTTATGTATCTCAAACACTCAAGAGTCTACTCTGGTTTTATTCTACTTGATACCGGGTTAATCATAAAAGAAATATTACTGTCTCATCTACATGCTTAGACTAATCTACATATTTAAATTCTACAAGTATATACATGACTTAACAGCTTTAAAGCTAGCCATTTTTGACCAGTTAGTTAAAACAACCTTTCCAATCTAGTGATTGTAGTTATTTCCTCAAAGCCATTGTCAAGATTAACTCAATGCTCTTACAAGATCTGTGTTAATAACCCATTTCTCAGTTCTCCATGAGGCTGCTTCACTGAAGTAGTAACAACCACTCCACTTTTCACAGACATCTCATCTACTCAAGCAAGGCAGCACTTACACATTAGTGAGGTCTTTCAATAACATCCAAAAAAGTATTTAATAATACATTTGACTAGGAAGTAAATAAAACTGTGATCCAAACCATTTTCTCCAAGAGAATTAACTTGGTAGCATCTCAAGACAAGATTCATAAGATTACAGATTAAAGAAAAAAATTAACTCTACAAAATCAGGTTAAAATGTTCAAAGTACAAATCTGAAAGGAGTAATGCCTCAAACAAAGAAAAACAACACACAAAACAAACAAGAATTAAGTTTCAAAACTCTGTTCTCGACTGTTCATTACAGAGAAAACGACTAGACTTCAAGTTGAGGATCTTCATATCCTCTCCCACCTTTATACACCCCCTGCCCCTCCATTATAAATTCTTATTTTCTATGAAAAGAACCCATATGTTGTCACACTTACCCCCCTGACCCCCCTCCCCTTTTCTTTTTTTTAATATAATAGCAATAATCAAGAAGCTGCAGGGGAACAGGTGACCAAGAGGAGGAGAGACAACCTCTGGCAACATAAAAGCACATACTACAAGAAAAGCTTAATTCCACTTAATTTAAACAGACAAGACCACATACGCCCCAACTTAAGGAAAGGGCACTATTCAGGGCTTGCAGATCAGGCAACCAAAATAAGGTAAAACGCTTAACCAGCTACATTTATTAGCCTGTTCCAACTCTTCCTCTCCCTCCTCCACTTTGTTTCTTTGCTCTGCCTGTTCCTGATCACCCAGAGCTGAGCTTCCCCTATAAGTATTTTCACACATGGGGGTTTATATGATGATGTAGGAATAATGTCTAAACTGAATAAGATGCAGGTTAGCATGAAAACTCTAACTAGGTGAGTATGAAAACCTGAAGTTCTAACACTAAACACGGTAAAACTGAAAATCACTCAAGAGCAGCCTGCAAACAAGCACAAGTTCCACAACTGCATTTCTGTGAGAAGATGTGTGACTGCCCACGGACAGAGCGTCGCGGCTGCAAGCGGTGGCAGGAGGTCCCCCTCCCTGCTCAACGCAACCTGCACGCGCAGAGAAGCTCACGAGACAAAATGAGCATTCGAGACTTGATAAAACACGAGAAAATCTGCTCAGTTTGGGAGAGCCCTTCTGAATTTTATAAAGAAACTCTACGGAGTGTCCCCACTAAATTGGCTTAGGCAGGAATTCTTCAAGTGTTGTGTGCTTCAACACTACAGTTGGAGGCTCGGGTTTTAGCAGCACGGGCAAGTCTTACACTTCCATGGTAGTTCCAAATATTCAGAAACTTAGAAACTGCAATAGAAATCCATGCATGTCTGTGCAATCCAACTGTTATTCTGTTGGAATTTACAGCGTCCTCCCATCATGCTGCACATTAATGTTCCATTTTAGTAATGCACCTCTTTTCTTAAGAAGGGGCATACCTGCACAGCCCTTTGGAATACAGAAATTAAATGTCATTCCAGAGAACAACAAGAGATCTTAGTTCCTCCTACTTAAATGCTTTCCTACTACGTCTCCGGAAGACAACAACTAAAAGCACACACTCTCACTCCTTTATCTCCTTAAGGATACATAAGTCTTACAGAGGCTCCAGTTATTTCTGTTTCTGCAGGTCACAAACTAAGAGTCATCTTTAAGATCACAGAACATGCAATGCAACTCTCAACTGCCATTTCCACAGTGTCCATTAAAAAAAAGAGACATGTGAAATGGCAAAAACTGATGCTTTAAATAGTGTATGTTAAATGGTTCAACAAATATTTGCTCAAATCCATCACAGTTCAAATTTGCAGAGATTGATTGTTAAAAAAAACAAAACTCTGAAGAGCCTCATTTTTCTTCCTCATTTTCCCTCATTAAATGAAAATGTGCAGTTTGTTTGCTTCTTCCAATCTTAATTTTTCTCTTATGTACATCACTTGAGGCAGATTCATACTCTAAGTTGGACAAACCTATGTAGAATACTAAATTTCACGTAATTTCTAGTGTCAACTTAATTATTTAGAAGTTAAAAAAAACAAATTCAACACCAACTGACTATACAATGAACTCTGCTCCATCCATTCACCTTTCAACCTGCAATCCAAACGATGAATACAAAGAGCATGTGACCACACATTACGACATTAAAGTTGACTACACTAGCTCGACTTCAGTGTTTCTGCAATTTCTACCCATTTTATATTCTCAGTGAGAATATAGCAAGTAAGTTAAGAACAAGAGCTACTACAACGATACATATATGAAGCACTACCCACAAAATTAATACAGACATTGCTGCTACAAGGTTTAGAGAACATCAACATTAAAAAGTCCTTGTTAGCTGTGTTAATTAATGTCAGCAACAGGTCATATCTGTCAATGATGGTCAGCACATAATCACTTCCATTCTTTCATTCTCCTGTTTATATTCCCTCTGAGAGACAGCGCTGACCATAGAAAGCAGAAAATATCTTTTCTGAATACCCTGAGATTTTAACACTCAAAGCTAAGCCAGACCCTGGAAACGTGCTCCATCCCAAGCTCCCTCCACATGCGAGCAAAAAAGGCCTAAGGGCATAAACAACTTCAGGGGAAAAAAAAAATCACTTTCTTTTGGCCATCATAACTTCCCTGGCAATCATGGATTAAGAGCCAAGGTTTACTAGGGGTATCAGGAGAAAGGAATGAAGGAAGGTTAGTTCTCCTGACCACTCTTACAGGCTTCTCAGGCAAACTTAGCCGCACTCTAAGCACAATGCAAGATTAAAGCAGCACATTCACAAGCTTAAACAAAACAACCAAAAAGCCACCTCAAAAAGACCAGGGTAGTGTGTTGGGCATTCTAACCCAAGAACTCTGGAACTGCTTCCAGCTCAGTCAGTAGCACGCAAACAAGAATATTTATAGCTCTTTAGGGGAAAGCCAACACACACACTTGAGTTTTATCATGCAGAGTAAGGCACCTTTTCCAAGCTCCTTATTTTACTAACTGCATTAAAAAGTCAGCTATACCAACTGACTTTGGTGGAGCTAAAGACTGTGCAATATTATGCTTTTGAAAAGCATAATATGATCTTACCTGCTGGTCTTAAAACAGAGCCTGACTATATGAAGACTGCAAGAATTAAGATGTCATAGTCTTATGGTCTACATAATGTTGAAAAACTGTTGTTACAACACACGCCAATAATCAAGAAAATAGTTATAAACATAAAAGCAGAATTAACAGTAACAGGAAATAGTTACATTTGCAAGAGGCCCCCTTAAGTGCTCAAAATGAGCAATACATCGTAAGTTGTGTTACTATTAGCACAGGCATTCTAAATTACCTCCGACATAGACAAGTTTCCTTCAGTTTGTGAAGTCAAGTACACTGCTCCGTGCAGACTTCTCAGTAGCTTTCACACCTATTTAAGGCTTAAGGAAGTGAACCAAGAAGTTCTGACTTCAAAAGCCAAGAATGGCATTGAAAAATATTACTCACAGCTACAACTGAACTTAAAGAGATCCTATACAGACAATGATGCCTTCATTCTGAAATTTGCAAAGTAATATTTTAAAAGACTTCATCCCATGAAGTTGTAAATAACAACAAACTTTCCCAAGTCATGAATAGTAACTGGTACCTAAAAGCTGCAAGCGATCCTTGGCCATTGCCAAATTTGTCATCATTTTAGACTGCAGACGTCGAGCCCGTTCACACTGATCACCTTGCAAAGAAAAATCAATATTAAAATCAGAATTTGTCAAATTAAAAATTTTACGTTCTAGAATACTGTCTTCTACCCACCCCTTATCTACCCTCAACACTGGAACTTTATTGCAAACATTAGAAAAAATATCCAAAAGCTGTCTACTTGCTCAAGATTTTGTATTAGCTTTCACTGCCTGCTTTCAAACATTGACTCTACATTGGCAACCTGAGCAGTGCACTATTTTACACATTCTCCAAAGTCTCATGCTAGCCTAATATCTACTTGCTTGGAATTCTAAACAGCTGCCAAGTAAGGAAGACTTAAGTTCAAAAAGTGAGAGGCAAGTACAATTCAAAACATATTTACTTTAGCAAAATTAACACATTTAAATTGACTTGTGTCCCTTTGCATTTCAAGATATGTGGGATTACAGACAGCAATATTACTTCCCATAAACAATGCCTGTTCAATTCAATTAAAAAAAAGAAGTTAATTTAGACAGGCTGTTGTTTTAGAAGTAGCATGCCAATCAGTACTGTCTGTAAAAATTCCAAAATGTAAAAGAGAAACCAAATAGTGACCTCAGAAAAGCTTCAGGTGTGAGGTTTTAGGATTTACTTTATGCTGTTTTAAGGACTGGGATTCTTGGGAAGCCCTTCACTACAAAGGTTTCTCTACAATGCACTACATATGTGCATATCTGTTCCTATACCAGAGCTTAAAACGCTTCCCTGTACAATAGACAGCTTTCTTCTTTTGTTGAAGATGTTCAGATATTTTGGCATAAGCTATTCAGAAACCCGATACTAGTCCACTCCAAAAGCATTTGTTTGTTTATATTAAAAAGCATATAAAACTCTGCAAGTGCGAGAACACAAGCTAATCCATGACTCTGCTTTAGTAAATCAAATTGGAACTTGCATAAGGGGAATGCCAAAATATTGGCAAATTAGCTGATTTACTTCAATATTTTCATAAGCTGCTTATGATCTTGGACAGCTACAGCTCTCAACATTAAGACAGAACATAGAAATGCACCAGTGTTCACCTGCAGCTCAAACAAGAATGAGAGACACCTTTATGTGCCCAACAGAGCAGACAGTTCCTAGTAGCTGTCACATTCAGCACTACTGATTCCTCACTGTGAGGAAGTCATAAACCAGTATCGATCAATACCGTAAATCTTTTCCACAGCACTCAAAACTGGCTTACCTTGACCAATTACTATGACAGCTATTCCTTTCTCCAGTTCTTCAATTCCCTTCTTATACCATTCAACAGCTTGTTCCTTTTGTCCTGCTTAAAAAGGAATTGAGCCCATTATTTTCTGTAGTTAATTAAACTTTAGGACAGGTTCCATATATTACTACATATAACAACTAAAAGGATGGAGCATATGTTTGAACAAAGCTATGATTTAAAGCAACACTTTAAGGGACACTGTCAACTTTATTTCTGCTTGGTTTCAAATAATCTTTGCCATTAAAAGTATTACACCAGCCTCTGATCACTTTTGCCTCTTTTAAGAATACTTCTCCAACTACCTTAAAGACACCACTTCCCTTAAAAAGCCCTAAAGTACACATATGCTCAGTAGAAATACTGAAGTTCTCAGGTTTTCTTTTAGCATATCAAATCAAAACATTCCTCTGAAACTTCCAGTGACACCTGATACTGACTTAACACTAGGAACGGGGCAATCCAAGAAGACTTGCATCAGTGCAATGACAGAGCGCTTTTCCTCTCACAGTCAACTCCCACCGTGTTTCACCTTTAGCTAACATTTGTATGGCATCAGCTTGATTTTCCCAGGTATACTTCCTCGATTGCTCATCCCATGATGAATTTTTAGTACTGCAGGTGTTTGGCAATCTCTGCACAAACCACAATCTATGCAGAATGGAGAGACGTGGAAACACACCTGAGTGCACAACTTCACTACAGCAAATAAACCAATGAACACATCTACACCTACCCTAAGCTGCCCGACGTCACGTCAACATAGGAAAGATACTGAAAGACATTCAGATCTGCTGCATATCTTGTCCTTTCTGTAGATACTCTGCATTGAGGAGATACCGCATTGCATATTGAAATAGACCCTTGAAAATCAGGCATATTACACTATGAACGCCTTTCTGCCAAGGAATATTGTATTCCTTTCATCACGCATCCCAATTTAAACCTGGCAAGCATTAACAGCTACTGGGGCTCAACAAGGCAACAAATGCCTAGAACAAGGTGAGACTTTTTCAAAACTATCTGTAGGTGCCAGCTACGAGTGACACTCTTGTCTCTGCCCTCAAAATTTGACAACTCCAGTCCTATTTTCTAGAAAATTTCAGTGTCAGTAAAATATCTAAATGCACTTCCACAATCTTCTTAACAGCTTTCTTCCTCATCTCTCGTTGCAACATCTGCTCAGAGTACTGGGAAGTCGGCCCGTGATGGTAATCCGTGCCTTGCTCTCCCCACCAAGTAAGCTAGAGGAGCGGCATCTTCCTGCAGTCAGGCACATCCCACACTCTGGGGATCATTCTCTTCCCATACTTTCCCTGCCAGCCTCCCACATCCTTATCGTTAAGGGCAATACTACATGAATTACATGATGGAGGCTGAGTACCTTTGATCCTCCCTGCAGCCACTTTTTAACTTCTCCTCGTCCCTGTCACCTACAGAAACAGTTTCAATTTCATTGCAGGCCTAATGCTGCTTATAGTTATTACAAAGCAAATTAAAAATGATTCATGTCAGCTTTGCCTATAGCAATCTGTAGGGCACTTGTGAACAAGCCAAGGGTTTTAATAAATCTCCAGGCCCACCTTCTAACAGGGGAGTTTCAAAAGCAAAATAGCAGGCCTGCTGGTGAAGACAATGCTTTGAATGTGCATAAAGTAGCTTACCAGTTTTTAGTCACTGAAACCTTGAAAAGAATTAAATAAATAAAAATCTTCAGAAATCATTGCTTTGCTTTGTCAGTCCCATAGAAAAATGGGATATTCAGCTTGATTTTGAAAATACTCAAAAAAGAACAGGAGATGCCCTAACAATTCCGGAGCATAAAAATTAACACTGTAGTGTTTTCATAATTACTGAAGCACACACCTTCCAGAATAGCAAGAACTCCACATAATTAAAAGGTTATGAGACACTTTAAAAATATCAACCATTTCATAAACTATGCCTAATATATTACTTTATTTGAAGTCACAAAAAAAAAAAGTAAATAAAAATATTAGTGGTATGTATGTATTCCAGTGCTATGACCAATAAGGGAATTATTATAACAACATGTTTATACAAGTAATAACAAGTGCATTAAAGCAAGCCAGGTCCTTCCCAGTCAAATTAATATTACAGTGGTAGGGCTGTAGCAGTTTTGCAGCTGCTTGTGTTAGCAGTAAGGATTTCTCTTTTCTTACTAGATGTTCACTTTGTTGAACTTATCCAAATAGGACAACTGCAGAAGGAGCAAAAATAAAATTTAAAAAAACCCACATATAATATAATAAGAATCAGGATTTAAAAGTCTATCTTTCAAGCTTCAAATCTTCTATCAATAGTTCTAAACCATAAGAGCATAACAGTCACCTGGCAATTTAAGACTCTTTGGAAGACACTCCAGGGCAGTCATCAACAACGCTCAAGTTTTAGGCTACCTTGACTTCTTCCTGGCTTTACTCCTGGAGCCCCTGATTCTCCTGCATTTTAGGCCTTTTCTGACCTAACGCAGCTGCGCACGTTTTTCCAGGCTGCTCTTCCCAAACTGTCAACGCAGAGCGAGAAGCGCTCGTTGCCTAAGGATGCACCCGGTGCTTGGCTTCCACAGGAGCTCCAACCCCTGAGCATTTCCCAGCCTCCTTGGCCACAGCTAAACATGAGGCCATGCACGAGGAGCTACAAGATGCTCGCAGGGAAGTTTAAAGCCCAGCGCAGCACGTCTCAGAAGAGGGGCCTTTCAAGCACTGTCAGAGTTGTGCTGCTGCATTCACACCAGAAAGCTAAATGAAACGAACACATGATTGCTCCCATTTTTGCTTTTTGTCCAGAATCCTCTGGACAATAAACAAACAAATAATCTATTCCTGCATTATACTTAGTTACTTCGTCAAGCACTAAACACCCTCCTTAAAGCCCACTAAATGCAGGGGCACATTTTTAGGAGTAAACGCGCTAAAAACTTCAAGGGGGAAAAAAAAAGTATTAAAAAAGCAACGACTACGACAAGAATAGCCATTTCTCTCCTTGGGAGCCAGCTGACATGATGCCAGCCAAGCTCCCGGGACTCCCACCCGAGCACTTACGCACACCTGCGCACCACGACACCGAAGGAGACGCTCCCACCACCATGCTGAGCGAGGGCCGGTGCCTTGCTCCAACCCCACCCAGCTAGGGCCGCAGCCACCCACCCCTCCAGCCCCAGCTGCAGCGAGGAAAACTCAGCTGAGGGTTTATTATGAAAGCCAACATGCAGAGGCTCGATCTGCATGGAGCAAAAATAAATACATCTGAGGTGTGTATGCACGCATATAAACACGCGCACACATATATAATACACATGTGTATACACAGGTATGGGAGCAGCTGCCGGGCCGCGGCCGCTGGGGCGAGCCCG